TTCCACTCCAGTTTGAAGTCCCTCCAGTGTAATTTACTTTTGTACAGCTTTGTATAAGGTGCTTTGTCAGGAAAGATCCCAAAGACCTTCTGACACAAATACCAAAATGCGGCAGTTTTTGTGAGAAGGCAGCAATCCCAGGTTGCCAGTTTCTCACATTCAGAAATGGTGACTAAAAATCTCCCAAGTCCTGGGGTTGACTTGAGAAGTTCATTTTTCTTTTCTTTGTGCTTTTTTTTTTTTAATGGAATGCTATTTTGAAGTAGATCTGCCCTTTAAAGGGATGAAAACTTAATGTTTACAAAAGAAAGGATTTAAAAAAAAAAAAAAAAAAAAAGAAATAAGGAAGGAAGGAAAGGATAACCAAGATTCTTGCCAAAGGCAAGAACCGAGCTCACAAAAAGCTGTAGGTTTCAGGAATTCACAAACCACTGTAATATCTAAAGAATCAGCAGGAGAGAAAATCGAGACATCAGGCAGTGAAAGCAAAGCAAAGCCCCATGGTACCCAGGACCTTTGGATCTTTAATGCTTATTCAGAGCACAAGAGCTCAGACTTAATTTCGGCTGAAAGGTCTCAGTGTTACTACTTAGAACCCAGTTCTCTTATTTTGCCTGCTTAAATGATGAAATCGTTCCTTCCTGACTTCAAACAACTGGTCCCCAGGTACTTTGGCAGATCATAGTGAAGTTTGTAACATTCTTTTGGCATGCAGCATTGTCCACTGAATTGACATTAGTATGTTATTAATATTAAATATACTATATAATTGTTAATATTTAATATGTATATATTACATCAATATTAAGAATGCCTGACACTTCCTACTGCAAACCCTATTTTCAGTTAGTTATAATTTCTCATACTTATAATGGTTTGACAAAATTTTCCGTGCCAGGTGTCTGCCTCAGGCAGAATTTTGTGGTGTTCTTCGGTTTGTTTGTTTCTTTTTTCTTTTAATGTCAGCCAAAGCAGCTCGGCTATTCCTGAGAAGTCAGCTAGGGAAAACCATGTAAAATAAACCTGGCAGTCTCTCCGAAGGGACCTAGTGTGTCCTTATCCTGGGGGACGGCACTTAACCTTTGGCAAAGGTGTGACTTTTCTTCTGGTTATCTGCTTCAGTTGGTAGGTTCAGATGGAAAACCTGCCAGAATGTGGGTGAACAATGAAAGTTTGAGAAATCACAGTTCACCGCGTGCTCATGCAGACCAGTTGGAATGATGTCCAATATGACTATCCACGCTCAGTGCCTTCAGCGCCAATCCAAAACCACCCTGAGGTGTGCTTGCCCCCCAAAAACCAGCAGCTCCTTCCAGCCCCAGTCAGGAAACTGCAAACTTCTGGTGATAAGATAGAATGGTGATACATTTTAGCTGTCTTTTCGCCTTGTGTTCAAGGTTCATTTTTGTCTTGCTCATGCTAAAAACACTGAGCATCCCTTAACAGCTGTTTGTGTTTTTAATTCCTGAAATAAGTTTGCAAAGGACTATCAGGAAAAGCAGATTTAATTGGTAAATTTTAAGGCTGAAGACAGGACCAAGGCTTTCATAACTTTTCTGTCTTGATAGTTTTAGCAGCAAGATACCTGCAAATGCGTACTTACTGCACACGTTATGGAAAGAGGATGTCTTCCTTCTTTCGGTAGGTAGAACATACCTGCCTCATCTCATGTTCTCCAACATCTGTCTCAGATCTGGCTGTCCAAGCGCAGAGCCTGAGACTGTAGCAGTTGTCTTCCCTCATGCTGTGAAGCCACAATACCTCCTGATTGAGCCCCCCCACATGGAGTGGTTTTATCTGGTGGTGTCCTGAGAGGCTTTTCTGCACCATGCCTCTTCCACCCACCCAGAAGTTGCAGATCAGTTTGTCAGAATAATGCGATAGATTGAAATTGCATCATAACTGAAGTGAAATCACCCAATTATCATTGCGGGTACAGCATCAGTTGGAATACTGCTTATTTTAGTGGTGTTCATACCCTCCAAAAGGAATACAAGTACTTCTATTGTAAAGATTTCTGCCATTTTTCTCTGGATTGATGCTCTGGAGACGAGAGCAATTTCTATGGAATTTGTAAGTACATTCCATCGAGTTTTATTTTCTTGAGACTTCTTTAAAAAAGAAAAAAAATGCTAGGTTTTTTTTTTTAATTTTTGAGTATCTGAGTTATATTGCTCTTTAAATGCCTCCCATTGTACATCTCTATAATTCATAAAAATGTACAGAATGGAAATAATCTACTTAAGAAAAAAAAAATTTAATGTGCGTATTGTATATCTAGTCCTGTTGCTCTTTACAGTGTATAACACACTTCAAGAGTGTCAGTATAGACAAAAATTAGACTAAAAATTAGATTTGTTCAGCAAATGTTTGATTGCTGTATCACAAACCTTTTATTATAGCGTTCAGTTCAAAGATGTTTGCATACCTTATTGAGCAAGCTACATATTTTTCCAGCTAAGGTGTGTATACTGTAGTCATTACATTTTTGCACACTTGGCTGCCTGAGCTGCATGGACTACTTTAACTATCACCAGGAATACTTGACTGAGTTCAGCTGCTTATTTGAGTGCTTCAGTTTGTGTACTTTATTACTTCAGTGGTGTATGCTGATAAAGTTCTGTTCTGTGCTGTTAAATTTTTGGTTCTGCCAATCTAACTATATACCACGCTGAGAGAACTGCACACATTGCTAAGTGCTTACTCCGCGGTGAACATGAGCGGTTGAAATGTTATGATCTGCAGTGTTTTGTTAAATGAGCTGCATATTTTTGTTTTTATATACGTTGCTTACCCAGTTGTGTACATTTGCCCAACTCATTATACAAAATAAGCTTGATTGGAATAAGAACATTCTCTACCAGCTGTCTGCTCTGAGTCAGTATGTAACAAAATTAGCAACTTTCTCTTTCCAACAGTGGCATGATTGCATCCAAAGTTTAAGGCAATTGGTTTTGGAGATCTTGTTTGTTTCATTCACTCCATGCAAACATCAAGATTAACAAACCAATTTGTTGCAACTTAATTTGTTTTCACAAATATGAACCGAGTTAAGTAACAGAGGAAAAACTCAGCATTCTAATCCAGGAAAATGTGTCCATGTAGAGTATGGAATATATAGAGACCTAAATATTATTATCTTAGAGCTACTCGTTGTAAATATAAGGAGATGGAAAATAACTAGAGACCTCCCTAGATATTTCATCAGAAAAGCAATATCCTAAATACTTGAAATTACAAATGCAACATTGTGTAAATTAAGTCCATGCTTTCATCAAGAGTTATAAAAATAAGCTCATCTCCTGACCATTAGAAAACCTCAAAATGCTTCAATAGGCAAAATACACAAGAACTCATGTACATGGATATGTAGTTTTCTCATTAATGTTGCTACAAAATTGAATTAACATCTTTAAGAAAGTGTTTTTCTCAACTTGCTAGTTTTTTGAGTCACTTCCAGTAAAACCTACAAGTTATTCTTAGATTTTGACTAATTTGCAGACTTTGCTTACGTAGCAGCTTGTGCTTCCATTTACAAAATCTGCAGCACTGTCTCACCTCAAAAAAGCTTTCTTAATTTTTCTTCAATACAGAGATACTTAATTAGGGCTATATAGTTTACCTGGATTCCTACCTGCCCCACATATAAATGCGCCTGGCTCCTGTTGTCAGTGTCCCACTGCTGATTGCTTTCATGTCAATGTTATAATTCACTGTTGTCCGAGCAGACTGCCTGGAAGGTCCAGATTTGTTTTTGCAAAATTTTACATATGAAAGCTTAATTGATCTTATTGCTTCAAAGAGTGTCCATTTAATTCTCAGACTTCTCGTGAACCATTATGTAAGAGTGGAAACATTGTAATAGTTTGTTCTAAAACCAAATGCGTGAACACCTAGGGGCAAATATAATTTTTAGTTGTCTGTCTTCACTGATACCTGTGGAAAAGAAATTTAAAGAGAGTGGTACATATGGAATGTATTAGAATATCCTGGAACATTATATTAAAATTAATTTAGTGTTCATATTTCAGGTTTTCTGTGTACATTAATGTTGGGTATTAAAAGAGTATGAGAAACCAGGTATACTGGATTTAATATCTGAAAAGTAAATGTAATACATGAGATGAACTCGACTTTCCTAACAGAAACAGAATAAGTAATTTTGCATAAAACGACTTACAGCAGACAGATGGTTAGGAAGAAGGTTTTGTCTCTGTTTTCTCTTTTCTTCCCCCAGCATGAATTTACTTTCAGTATCAGTGTATTACCAGTAAAGATCTAGATTTTGCTCTTCCTTTGAACTGTTAAATCTCAGATACAGTTTTCCCAAAGTTATTAGTGTAAACTAAGATTAGAATGGGACTCGACTCTATCATGTTCAAATGAATGATGGCTAAGTGCAATTTCTACTGTGTAGGTATCCTGTACAGTTTTTGCAGAGGAAAATTCTTCCTTTCGCCAAGGGAAGTAAAGAGAAATATTCCTTTCTTTGGGGAAAGAAAATCAGAAATCTTCATTTTTTTCCTGCTGCTGTGTGAGGCCTGAGGAGGTAGAAAGAAGCAACTAAGAAGCTTTAAGAGATGAAGCAGATGGAAAGTTTTTGTGAGGATTGCTACCCTTTCTCCCAGCTTTCCACCAACATCTCTAACACTAACTGCAGCAAACTGGACTTGCTTTTCTGTTTTCACATCTGAGCAACCTATTTCTTTGTATGGCTGAGATACCTACTGAAAAACCAGCATACTAAATTTGAAACATATATTCGATATATATCACTGCAGTGGAAAACAACATGGGCTATTAAAATACTAGGAATACGCAGGGTATCTGTTGTCCGAGATCTATAGAGAGTAACAATAATTCATAAGATGCATATCTATTCCATATATTTTCTGTATATATTTTTATGCAGCTGGTATATGCATTACACATATACACTATTTCATAATTTATACTTGACCTCTTTTCTTTTTTCCTTTTTTTTTTTTTTCTACTCCTAGAGAGTAATTTTCAATGTCGTCAACTTCAGTAAAACAAAAAGCCTCTATAGAGATGGGATGGCTCCAATGGTGAAATCCACAAGCAGACCGAAATGGTAAGTTATCCTTTTGAAGATTTGCTTAATGAGATAAAAGTGTTTTACTTGGCACTTTCTTGTAGCAAAGACCTTATGGCTCAGGTGCACCTTTTGGTAAGAGTAGGAGAGAACTTTGACGCAAAGCAGTGTTGCAAGGACAGACAGGTTCTCTTTGAAGCTGATGGACAGTATGAATCAGGCCCCTTCCAGCTTTGCTGTGGTCATAGAATCATAGAATGGTTTGAATTGGTAGGGATCTTAAAGATCATCTAGTTCCAACCCTCCTGCCAGGGGCAGACACACCTTCCACTAGACTAGGTTGCCAAAGCCCCATCCAACCTGGCCTTGAACTCTTGATGGTGTGTTCTAATGCCTTGTTTCAAGTAGCATGGCTGAAGTGATGTCCATTCAAGCAAACTGAACAGTCAGGAATTGGCCCAAATTATTGTTCAGTGACATCCTCACCCCCCCAACTGTTAGACAGTCCCTGGCACAGTTTTGGCCTGTGTCAGCTAGCAATCTGCCCAATATGGAAGGTGGACTGGGCCTGGACTGGTTCCAGAAGGCTGTTTGGATTTGTTCCCCCTGTTTTGGGGTGGTTGGAGTTTAGTGGAGGAACGTGAGCTCTGCCCTGTGAGTTGACCTCATGAGCAGTGTCTGGTTGTAAGCCACACAAGATATACAACACAGAAAGGCATGCACATGCGAAACACAAATACCCATATAGATGGTACATTTTCTCAAAGCAAACGTAATGAAACATCTACTGTGAATAATAATATGTAAATCTAATGAGTCCTGATGCACGCAAGACTCCCAAGAATTATAGGATTTGCCTTCAGCTAGGAGACTTGTTTGAATATGGATGGTGGGGTTAGGCCATAAGTGTACAGTAATGTATTCTTGTAAACCTTTACAGCTGCTACTTTTTATTGGTTAATTAATAATATGTTTGATCAATCTGCACGTTAGCTGAGCCTTATAAAGATATCTTTCTTAAATAATTCAGCTGTCACAAAATTTCCACCCACAGGATGCTAACTTTTGGTGGTCATAAGATCATTGTTATTGTATGGCTTCTTCTTCATAAGACCAACAGAATGGCTATTTGTTTTTTTATCTAGGTGGTAAGGTCATATGGGCAGAAAAGCTGTCTCTCAATACAGTTAGTAGATGGAGTCAATTCCAGCTCAATAGGAGCATGTAATAACATTGAAAATTAATTAAAAAAATCCATTGTGTTTAGTGTTTTTATAGCGAAAGTCATGTTAATTGTGTTTACTATTTAACTTCAGAAAAATCTTTTGGGGCATTTCAGAGCCACATTTGTCAAGCATACTTTAATCATCTTTCAAAACCTTTTCCTTCTCTCGCTGGGGTCTGGTATTTGCAGCTAAGTATATTGTGTGTTAAGTTTATCTATAAATCAGATATTGCTTTCATACAAATTTTATGCCTTACTTTGGTTTCAAATTAAAGTGTAAATCTTACGAAACAATGCAAAATGGGCTTTTTCTAGAACATATAGGGTCCTTCACTATTTTTAAAACAGATTTCTCTTCTATTTCCCTGGAGATCTATTTATTTTTGTGTTTTATATTTTTGGGGCATGTATTTTGCTCCCATGAAAGTGAGGAATGAATAACATTGCCTGGAGCTAGGCACAGTGTAGGCAGCAGGTGCTGAGCAGCTTCCATGTACCGGGCTACTACCATGCTTTAATCCTGTTTCAGAAATTCCGCCTGTAATATTTTCTTTAAAAAGATCATTCTTCTATTAAGGTATTTTTATTTTTTCCTAATAGTCTGCATAGGAAAACATCTTGCTGTACTTTGAAGGTGCACATTAATTCATACCGTTATCAGGGACCTTAGCAATATTGGGGTCTACTCAATATAATTTTCCGTCTTGATGTTAATAGGAGTTATGCATGTGTTTTCCAAGTGGGAAAACACATACATTATTTTTGGATATATGCTTTCTATTAGAACTGTCTTCCATTTGGATTATGCCTTTTACTATTACCTCTGTATCCGTTTCCATGGCATTCTAGTCCAACCTGTAAGCAAAATTTTCTCTTTCTCTGTTTGCTGAAACAGGATTTACTAGTACTTGCAGTTGCTAATGCAGCATACAGGTAGATGTGGGCCTTGAACATGTAGAACATCCAGCTGCATCGACTTGATCCTGTTTGATGCTTTGTATATATGAGTCTAGTAAGCAATACTCAATCATTCAATGCTGCAAAAGTGCCGAGGTTTACACGAGGGTACTCAGGATTAAGAATTGTGGGAAGAAACTATTGGAATTCTCCACCTTATATTAAGATTTAAGTTAGCAGAGCAGGTTAGTGGATATAATGTAATTAAATTAGAAAAGGATATATTAATTACAAAAAGTTGAAGAAGCAAAAAAGGGTTTAAAATCGAGTGAAAAGGAAGAAGATTACCAGAAGCCATGGTCTGTGAATATTCTGTAGCAGGGCTCAGTTTTTCATCCCTGAACTGTTCTGTACTAAATATTTGAGGAATTCATCATTATTGTGCCTGCCCATGGACACATGTGAACCATACTGAAATTCTCCCAACTTCCTCTGGCCACACTGATAGAAGCAATGCCGTGTCACACATAACTATTCCACTCCCTTTTTTATACAATCAGATTTGAGTTTTAGGGTGACAAAGTGTCTTTTTGCATTTGATAGATGTAGTTACATTACTCCTCTTAATAATAGATATTCAAGCCGGAGTTATGCCCTTTGGATTTAAATGAGAAAGTACCCACTGTTTCAGGATAGAATTTGACCATATTGCTTGCAAAATCCTGCATATCAGAAGTAGATTGGCCTCCAGAGACTGTGAATTTTAATGTTTGTTTTGAATGTGGTTACGCGAACATGGCTCCGAGCTTTGCAACATTTTGTGAGTTTGATTCTTGACTCTGGAACAAATCACTGCCAAGTGCTCTTGAAGTAGAGAGTGTGTCAAACACAGATCAACGTTTTTGACCTGTATTCTCTTGCCCTGTGGGGTAAGATCTTTAAATGCAGTCAGCATCAAGGTTCAGCTCAGTGTTACTGATGTAAATGGAGTATATCACTGTCATCAAAGCACTCTATGTGGACACAGATGTTCTGGTGTTGACATATTCTTCTCTTTTGAAGTAAGGCCAAACATCTCCAGTAATGAGCTACTTAAAAAGGGGAAGCAGTATGCTGAAGGATAAGGAAAAAAACTGATTTCACGGTAAAGAAAAAGATTATTTTTTAAAAAGAAAAAAACAGAAAAATAAATTTTGATTTAAATGATATGTATTTTCCCTATACACAGTAATGGGTTTACTGAATATTCTTTCCCAGAGGGACAGAGCAAAATAAAAAAGAACTAAGTAGGTTAAGTTCTAACTCCCTCTACCCATTTTTTCTGCATTTTTTGTGGATGCGCTATGTTGACACTGAATAGTATGGGGTTCTGTCAGTTGCATCGATTAAATTTCACTGCAATGAATCACAGATCATACGTAGAAATGCAGCATTGTGTCACATCATGTTACATCAGTTGCACTTCATAGCAAATTGGACAAGATGAAACTCAGGATTTTATTTCAAACCAGTGGAATGCACTGTGTCTGATCACTTAGCATTTTCGCTTAAAATTAGCTGGTTGTTCAGAAGCATTGTGCTAAGATTTTAGAGAATTGGTGGTTTTGCTCAATAATGACTACTACAAATATAAAAAATCTCAGTTACTATAATACAGACCTTTTGCCTGGGTCTGTTTTCTTTGCCTCATTTGTGGAGGTGAAGAATTTGAAGGGAGATGGATATGAGGAAATTAAATTTTTGCTATGCTGATGCAGTTTCTAGTGTAATCTTTTTATTTGCTGCTTCATTTAAGTGCAACCTAATTTTGTTGCAGTTTCTTAATCATGATTTCACACTAAAAGCTCTGTCCTTGGAAGGTATTCATAAAGCCTAGTATGTGGGCACAGCAATGGAAGACCATTTCAGTACAGATACTGTACTATTATATTGATTGCACAAAGTTTTACAAGTTTCTCAAAGTGAAATAGAAGAGTGAGTTGTTCAAGAGGCAGCAGATTTTCCAAATGATGAAGTGAGCAAATATTCCCTTTGGGCAGAGAACAGCTATAACTCTTGATTACTCAGTGTGAGCATTGCCTCATTGGGGACATTAGTTTTTCAAATTGTGCTAATCTTTTAAAAGTAACAACTGGCCACTCATCACCTTAGGTATTTCAGCAAGATCATGTGCAAAACTCTAATTAGTATTTATAGAACAGCAGCTCCTCCCAGTAGAATAGTAGCGGTAGCTGGCAAATATCTGGTTGACACCTGTTAAGTCTTCAGACATCCATTGTATTTTATTCTGCATTTCAAATGAGCAGAGAGCAGTAGGTGAAGTCCCCATAATTAAGGGATAAAGGATAATAAATAACATGGTTCTTGAGTGGATGAACACCAGGTTAAAGGCTGTTCTGCTGTTGTGATGCCGTATTTCAGGAATTGTTTGTTTGTAAGTAATAATGCTAGCTACAATATTATGGAGCCTTCAGCATATGAGAGAGGATTTATGTCTAGATTTACACGTGTTTTGTTTATAATGTCAGATTTCAAACTGCTTCTTGGCAAAGCAGCTACTTTCTTCCCTGTCTTTTATCTCACTCAGCATTGTTGGCTTTTAACTGGATAGCTGCCTTCCCCAGCAAGCACTCCACTACCTCTGTTGCTATAACATCTACTGTTAAATACTCACAACACATTGCTTCTGAAGCGTTTTTCTTTTCCAGTAAACCTGGGAATACAGAAAAACTTCTATGTAATTAATTCAAATTTGAATCTATATGTATCTTGGTAAATATTGTCATGATGAGGAATTTTGGTAGACATCAAGAAAAGCAATGCAAGTTTTATGAACAATACTCCCATATGTTCCATTCATCAGAAGGGGACAAGACTGAGAAAATCTGAATTTTGAATAGCTAAAATGTGCTGATTC